GATAGAACGGCAAACCTGTCCCAAAAAAGCAAATGTTGAGACCCCTAAAGAAATACACATAATATATAAGCCACCCAAACATCTCTTTCTTCGCCTTATATGAGCTTTTTACTAAATTTTTGGAGATCTTTAAATGAGATTTTTAAATGAGACGGATTCAGTGTTAATGCTTCAACGGCTAAATTTGAAAGCTTGAATGAGGAAACCAGGACAAAAGTAGCATAAAACAGTGTAAAACAGTGCCAGTGCTGTTAGATATTAAAATAAAATTTCTAACTTTCTGATATTCTTGAAAAACAAGACGCAACTGGGCATAATTCTGTGAAGCGAGGATTGCATTGAAGGCAGACTCAGTTCCCAAGCGTCGTTCAGCAGCACTGCTCTAGCATCCTTATCAAAAATATATCAAAAATCCCTAAATAGTTAAATATTGTGATTCACTGAATAAACTCCTTTCATTAAATTTATTGAAGATATTACAGTTCTTCTAAAGCATTATGCAGATCGCATATGGCTTATTAGTGTGGCAAATGACCCAGCAACTTCGAGGAGTTTTCCAGCTCCGTGTCTTATAATGGTTTTGTTTTGATTTTTTTCTCATCGGAACACCATTTTCCTCAAAATTTTCTTATCACTCCACCAATGGTCGGTTTATCCGCTCAATACTTTACTTTTAATTTCACAAAATCATTCTCCACCAAATACGATTATTTCCAACGATAATCGAACAAAAGAACTTTATTCAAAATTAATAATAAATAAATATAGAAGCGAGAGGAGTAGCACAGAGTGTCGGAGCTCACTATACTGAAGTTGGTAGGGATGGCAAAACTGAACGGAGCCCACTGGCTTATAATTATCTAATGACTGATATGATGTCTTTAATCGGTGAACGAAAAGTCTAATGCATGCCAATGAAAATCACATTCGAATTTGATGGAAAAGTATGTCTTTGCGCATTCTCTATTTTTAAACAGAACAAAATAGATATATTTTTATGCATTATGCTTGTTTATATGCGTATTAATTGAAAAATGAAGTGATGGAAGTCGAGCGAAAAATTAAAAATTCACATTTTGAGTTAGCATTTTATAATTACAGTTTAAGGACATTTTTTAAAGGACTGGTCTAATAGAGAATACAAAAAGTTTGTGTTAAAACTTAGGTGAAATTTTTAGGTATTTATCAGTAAGTTTTATGTATTTCTTTTTTAAGAATAAATTGAAAGAAAATAGGCAAATTAACCGAAACAAAATCCTGTGGTGATCAGTATTTTATCTCATTTGCCGTTGCTCAATCACTAACATCCTTCAGCATTCCATATCTTCCCTCCGTGTCTCATGCATTAATTTATCCATGTGCCAAAATAATCATTCACTGATTATTCACAATTCAAAAATAAATGAAGTGATCATATGAATTCATTGAAACTTGCGATAAATCTGCAATATTTAGGATACATCGTAAGCAAATCTTATAAAGCAAATCGTAAGAAAGAATGTAAATGCTCTTGACTTTGCACCAGAATGAATCTGGATTTTCGTTGTCAAGATTTAATAAATTATTAAACAACAACCAGATAACATCGAAATGAAAATGAAAAAATGCAGTTCATATTCTTTTTTAACAACATTTGCAGTGTGTTAAATATTTTCTTAGAAACTGAATTGTATTTTACTTGCAGACAAATAAGAAAGCAATGTTTTATAAGCGCTTTGTACCTATCTGAACCAAGTGGAAATATAAAATACTTTATATATCTATAATACCGCTTGCTCTATATATCTTATCTAACATATCACTTTCTGGAATTTTATTTTGAATGAAAAATATACTTCATGTTGGTATTTGCTTCAAGCTAAGTAAAAAAAACCACAAAATTCTTCGAGTTTTAAGGCTATTTTCATGATTAGCACTGAACCATAGGACTCATCGACGCAAACTGTGATGGGAATTAATGAAGAAAAATGAAACTCTTATTCTGCTTAGTGTTACGGTTTTAAAGGAAATATACACAACCAAATTTTAAAACTTTTATTAATTCATATTTATTATTATTATAATATTATTATTCTTGATTTAACTTTATATCTAACGACGTATTATTCTTTTTCAAACAGCTCTCATCATTACTGGTTTAGGCTGGTTCCAATGGCTACAGGGGCAAGATGCTTTCAAGCAGCGCGGTCTGATGCCACAGTCGACAGTAATAGAAATCATTCCTATACGTTCAAAATCTTTCCTGACCGTATCAGTCCAGTTCTTGATTGGCCCTTGCTTTTCACGCCATCCATCACACGGTTTAGCAAGTAACGAGACAACTCTTGTGGTGGACGACGGAGAATATGCCCTAACTACCGAAGGCGACGCTTTGTGATAACATTAATTATTAATGCAAATGGTATTTGAGCGAAGATGGATACAATAATGTGCGATTTTATCCGCTCGACGGATCCGTAAAATTCCGTAGACAAGAGTGGTCAAAGGCAGATAATATCCCCCACTCTCATTGGCCATGAGCCATATAGCAGATCGAACGAATCATGCCTATATAGATGCCGACTTTCGGTTTTATGGTGATTTCATGACGTCTCCATAAAGCTTTCGTCAACCGGAAGAACGCATTTTTAGCTGCCATGGTCCGGGCTATAATATCGTCTTTAGCCTGACCATTTGGTATTAGATTGGACCAAAGATATTTAAAATCGGCCACTTCTCACCCGGCTGAATTTACAAAAAGAGGCATTTTATCAGCTTCTTGCATATAAGACGAAAAGACTTTCGTTTTGTTTACATTGATTCTGAGTCCGATTCTTGCTGCGGTTTCTGACACGTTATTTAGCATAATTGCATTTCGTCATAACTATCATCAAAAAGAACTACATCGTCAGCGTATTATCCAGGCTATCGCATAGTTGAATAGTAAGGGAAAGGACGCAGCCTTGACGGACACCAGTTCTTATTTCGAAGGAGTCTTAGTTCCCCATATATACACACCTGCGCCGACGTATGCTCGTAAAATGCCTTTATGAATCGATTGGTCTTCTCTGGAACACCGTCGCATTCCATCATCCTCCAAACTGCCTCTCTATCAATTGAATCAAAGGCAGCTGCAAAGTCGATAAAACACGTGACAGTGGGTTGCAAATCTGAAGCGATATTCCAGCATCCTTCCTAACGTGAATATCTGGTCAGCACAACCGCGCCTTGGTCTGAATCAAGCTTGATTAGGGCGCATCCTGCTGTCTCGTACTTCTATAAGTCTGTTGAGTAAAAGAGAAGCAAAAATTTTCGCTGAGATGTCTAGTAGGCTAATTCCACGATAATTGCCGCAGTATGTCCTATCATCTTTCTTGAGAATTTGGAAGAATTTTTCAAACACCGAGTATTACATTGTTTAGCAAATAAGAAATATGTGTCAACTCCTGTGGTGGACGACGGAGAATGTGCCCTAACCAGCGAAGGCGGCGCTCTGTGGCAACATTATTAACGCAAACAGTATTTGAAGATGGATACAATCATGTGCGATTTTATCCGCTCGATGGACCCGTAAAATGTATTTTAGATAAGAGTGGTCAAAGGTAGATAGCTTCTTAATATTCTCCACTCTCATTGGCCATGTCTCAGAACCATATAGTAAGATCGAACGGATCACGGCAATATAGATGCGAACTTTCGTTTTTATGGTGATTTCAGGCTGATTCCTCGATAATTGTCGCAGTATGTCCTATCACCTTCCTTGAGAATTGGGAGCAGAATTGCTTTGCTCCAATCATCTGGTAATATTTCTTTTTATCTGGTAATATATGAATTCATTGAAATTATGCGATAAATCTGCAATATTTAGGATATATCGGAAATGAATCTTATCGTAAGAAAGAGTGTAAATGTTCTTGGCTTCCTTTTTTTTTTATTCTTATTCTTTCTAATTTCCTTTACTACTTTCATGTGATGAGCAATAAAAAGTTGTGCGATGGCTCACTAACTTCATTTTGGGGCATTTCATTTCATTATACTCTTCATGTACTGTTTATTTCGTTACTATTTATAATTCTGAATTATTCGCCGCATTTAGTTAAATTAAAAATATTATCGACAAAGAACTGATACATTAATGGAATATTAACGAAATAGACCAATGAAGTTTCTAAAAATCATAAAATTTTCATAACAACGATGTTTGATCCTTAAGAATAAAGCGAAATGAAAACTAATGACAATTGCTCTCTAAGCAGTTGCGCGCCCGAACTTTTTTGAGCCTTGCTTCCGACAACTCTTTTAAATGCAGTCGAAGTAGAATGACTACCTCCTATTCGATACGTTCTACAAAACTGCTATGCGGGACTAATATCGATAAGCATAACTTTTTATGGGCATAACTAAGAAAAGTAACGAAATTTCTTCCATAGAGCCACTTGGCGACAATCGGGCCACCCACTTGATGTTTAAATAAAAGGCCATTTTTGTCGGGGACGACACTCGCCCAACACGAAATCTCAAACACAGTCCACTCAGCAATCCTTCTTTCAACAAAAATCATTTGAACAGTGCAGAGTCTTAAAACGATAATATTAATTGTTCGAACCGATTTTTATCATCGATTTCGAAGTATTAATGTTATCATCGAAGTCAAACGATATGAAATCTTCATTGCAGATAAAGAAGAAGGAGAAAGAAAGGTCGAAAGGTAAATAATTTTGGAACTGTAAAGAATCCTGTTTGTTATAAACTATAAATCCATAAAATTTTAAGAAAAATTTATGGAATATCGGAAATTTTCTTTTATCAATTTCATTTTACCTTAATGTCGATTTCAGCGAGAAATTTCGCCGAACTTCTCCTGAAATTTCTTTCCCTTTGAACATTTCTTAAAATTTTTTTGATTTATATGTGGAATTTTCCTGGTTTTTTGCGAAATTTTCCTTCTTTTTTTTGATTTTTAAATTTTTATTTTAAAAATTAATATTTTAATATTTTCTTAATTTTGCTAAAAGCCTTGGTTTCATGTAAAATTTGTTTGGAGTACAGTTTTATTTTTGCTTTTTTCTTTTTGCTGTTTCTTCCGTTAAAAATAGATTCGTTAAAAAAGTGTAAATTATATTTTTATGCATTTATCAGAACTTTTTTTTTGCTTTTCAGCTAAAATTTATAAAAGGAAAGTGCCGCACGAAGCAATTAGACTTTTTGGCAAAGAATTCCAATTAAAATTATGTGAATTGCTTTGTAGTGATGGTTTGAAGGCTATCGATGAATTAAAGGCAATACACGGTGAAGTATGTTTGTTATTTGTTATAAACAGTTTTTGTCATTTATCATTTAGAAATAGGAATTTTCCTGAAAGAACAAAATGGTTCTGTGGTTGTTGTTCAGTCGCCGTTGGAAGAGTTACGTATTAGATAATCGTTTCTATCGCTAAAACAGGTAACCTTTATGGATCTGACCATGTTATATCCGAGCCAAAGTTCGTATCAAATTGACAACTCGCAAGAAACAGCATCCCGCAAGATTCTTCAACCATCTTAAATCAAAAAATGATGCTGTTCGCTTTGCTTTGGTCAGCGATGGCCATTTTTAGCGGAGTCATAGTCAGTCATTCATGCGACACTCACTAATCATTTTTTCATTTTAAAGGCCAAGCCCAGCCATACTCATTCCAAGAATATTTAAAGAATATTCCAAAAATAGGCACTTCTTGCATTAATAAAGCAGCTCTTAATTTACTGTAAAAAGAAATTTTAATAATCATTAAGTTCTATAAAATTTATATTATTTTGCCTTTTGCATTCGAAAATTATGCAAAATCATTTTGCCCGTGTTATTGTTAACAAATGACACTTGTAAAAAAATAAGATAAAAGTTCCTTGTCAAAGATATGAAAAGTAAGATTTTTAAATTATAATTATTCTTAAATTGCACACTTATACATAGATCTGCATTCCATTTTCGCTTATCATATTACCGTTCAAATTATGAAAAAGATTTTGAATATATATCTTTCGTTTTATATTGGGGCATTCTTATAAAAAGAGATTATTCAAGCGGTCATGCAAGCTCATAAACCTTCAACATTGTTATACGATTTTTGATTTTGATTAGCAATATGTTTTTTTTGATTGAACCAGACGTTGGCTTTACTTAAATAAGGTCAAATGCCTACCAGTTTTATCTCGCCCTCTTTCATTTTAATTTTATAATGAAAAATGTGAAAACAAATTTTTTTACCTATTTTTTTTCAATTTTTATCTTTTGTTGTGTCGGATAATTTCTCTTCATTCCATGTGGTCCTGGTAAGCTGAAACGTTGAGCACTTCTTGTGTAAAATATTTAAAACTGCTGATTTAAAACCAGAACATGCGAATAAATTAAACGAAAGCAAAATACAGCTATAAATAAATTTTTAAAAGTTTTAGCTTGATTAATTTGTTTTTTCAGTGTAATTTTTAAAACTATACTATAAATTTATGCAGATGATTTTTTATTTTTTAATCTTATTATTAATATATATGTTTAAATGTTTTTAAATGTTTTTTAATATATTTAAATTTTTTCAGCTTATAAGTTTTTACAATGAACATAATTTGACAGAGATGTGGATACCTGACCAATTTGATTATGATGATGATAATGATAATGACAGCGATATGAAAGAAATAAAAGCACCGTTATCGAGAAGGTTGCATCATGATGCAAAAAGTTAACATTTTTAATTGCTAATTTTTGAAATTTGGCGAAAAAAAATATGCTATTTTCAGTCGATGCTCGTCCTATTGGTATTGCACGAAAGAGTCAGGCTGAGGATAAATATAAGGTTATATTTCTGGTGTCGCATTGTTTTTCTCACAACAGATTTTAGATAGTGCATGTTTTATGAACTTTAAAATAATGGCTAGTCGAAAAAATTATTAGTATTGTAATATTATTATAACTTTTTTTCCTATTATTGAATTTTTCAGAATTTTATTTTCCTTAGCGATTGTGTTTGAAATTTCTTAAAGGATCTGGATTAAGTTTTGCTGACTTTAATTCTATTTCAATTGAGGAAGTCAAGATAATGAAATTAATAATGTTTTAAGCAGTCACAGATACAGCTTCCTGCTAGTATTGTTTCAGCAAATATTCTTTTTGAACTCAGTGACGACTCTGATGATGAGTTCTCTAATGCGATATCCTCCGCTTCAAAAATTTATAAAGTTTGCTTCTAATCTTGTATCTTTACTTGATTTCTTCATCTTTATCAATATTCTTTACTTTTGTGAGTTTATCAGTATTCAAGACCATTCAGGAAAAGCAGCACTAACTACCTGATTATTATCGACCATCAACCAGTACTCAAGATAACATAAATCGAGAGCAATAGATGATTTTGTATAGAACAATGAGTTGTAATATTCGCGAATTGAATTTGAATTTAAATTATATATGCATTTATAAATAATCCTAAATCGATTCACCGTTGTTTAAGTCTGGTATATTAAAAGTGCATTTCTTAGTCTTCTAAATTCCCTCACTCTTTTTCATAAATTATTCGAATTTTACTCTTTTATTATCGTAACCAATCTTTGGGAATCATTTAGCATGGACGAATGATTCAAATAATCCTTCCACCATCCCAGTGACATTGATTTTTATTTGTTCTGTGAGTCGCAGGATCCGAGCGGTCGGGTCCAATAATTTTATTGTTTTTTACTGTTTTATTTTATTGCATTATTTATTTATGTAATTTTCATTAGATTTTTATATTTTATTTATATATATATTTTATTTTTATATAAAGGTTTACTAGTTTCTGTTTTTTAAAATATTTTTAAATCTTTTATCAATTTGTATTCCCTTCGTTGTTGTATATTATTCGTCTTTCTTCCAACAGTTCTCATCATTATTGCTTGGGCTGGCTATAAGAGAATATTTACTAGCTGTTCGATCCTACGCCATCGCTAATAGTAATAGAAGCCATCACTTTTTTCATTGCCTAAGTCCATGTATCACTGGTCCAGTGTATGTTCAAAATTTTCCTGACTATACGAGTCCAGTACTTCTGCCCCTCGCTTTTGATACCACTGACAGGGTTTAGTAATTAATGAAACATATCAAATATATGCTGGCTCTCGTGGTGGGCGATGAAGAACGTTCCCTTACCAACGAAGAAAGTGGTATTATTAATGCAGATGGCATTTCAGCGAAGGTCGATGCAATAATATCCAATATTATCCGTTTAACAAAACCAGAAATCTTCAAAGATATAAATGGTCAAAGGTAGATATCTTTTTAACATCATCGTCCATTCTCATAAGCCACGTCAATATACCTATTAGATCTAGTTTTCCCCAAAGTAGTTGTATCGCGCCATTGCTTTTTCTATTATATGGAAATGATATCACCAATGTGCTACTAAATTCAATGTGCTATTTACCTTTATACTGTAAAAATTATTCTCATGGTAGAGCGGATAATCTATCTCCACTGCAGGAGGACCTCAACCTAATAGCTAACTGGCTATATGATAGGCAAATTACCTTTTCCTTTCAAAAATATAGCGTTCTTCACATTAATTCTAAAGGTTTCGGTTTTCCTAATCTTTTTATTAAGGGTAATATAATCAGAAGAGTCTCACACATTTACAATCTTGGAGTAATCATGGATGAAAATCTCGATTTCGACCTTCACTGCAGAACCATAGTAAAGAAATCCTCAAAGACGCTAAAATACGTTTCTAGCTATTGTTATCTAGGTTGTGATTTTGTCTTTCGTTTAATTATTTGGAATTAAAGCGGATAGAGTGAATGGTCCTTCCTTAACGGTGAATTCAGAAAAATAGATATTTCATCAACTTCTGGTATATAGGGGCATATAGGGCGAAAAGATTTTCGTTTATTCTAAGTAATTTCTCGTTATAGCTGTCGACGCATTGTTTACCATTATTTGCGTTCCATCACAACTGCCAGAAAAAAAGCGGATTCGAGATATGAGACAGTATGCTCTGGAGTGATCTGCGCGCTTCTTGAGACAAACGATGTCTATTATCCAGTTTACCGCATATTTGAATATTATAGGGAAAAAACGCAGATTTTAGCACCAGTTCTTATTTCGAAAGAGTCTGCCAGTTCTTTATATACACGGACCTGTACCGATGTACGTTGGTAAAATGCCTTTATGAGTCGAATAATCTCTGGGACGCCATCACTCTTCAAAGCTCTGCACTATCAACTGAATCGAAGGCAGCCGCAAAATCGATGAAACACGGGACTGTCAATTGGAGATGTTGGAAGCGATGTTCCAATATCCTTCTGAACGCGAATATCTGGTCTATTTCGCATCCTGATCCAAATCTGGGTTGGAGCGTATTCTCTGTCTTATATTACCATAAGTAGAAGGAATGTATAAAATTTCCCTGGAGACATCTAGTGGGCTGATTCTTCGATAATTGTTACATATCCTCTCATCTTTCTTAGAAATTGAGAGTTGAAGAATTGTTTTGCTCCAGTTATCTGGTATTATTTCTTTTTTCTATATCAGAGAGTATACTGAAGGTGTGTTATGAAGAATGACGGGCAATATTTAATATGTTCAGCCAGCAGGCCATCTCTTTCTGCACTTTTATTGGCCTTAAGCTATGGAGTCACAAAGATATGGGTACGGCGAGAGGGTCAGCTATGAACAACAGACGACGCATTACGGTTAAATTTTGCCTTAAAAAATCCCACTTCACGAGACGATCCTTAATAGCTTCAACAGGCATGCCATTATTATCTCGTATCATTTCACAGACCATTCTCCGAATCTTTGTTGCTTTATGAAGGCGGAATAGTTTTCTATTATCACCTAATCGGGCTGCCATCTCTATTCTCAAGGCCATGTCATTCCGATAGTGATTTCTGTACCGCCATGCTGCTATCGTTGTAATTCTTCGAAGCATCCGGTAGGATATCCTGTCATTCGTGCCTTATCAGCTTTTTCGGGCATACTTGCATACTCGCTTCTTCGACCATAATTAGCTTACTATCTCCTAACATATCGTAGCAAAATGGCTGATTTTCGAAGACATTCCTTTAGTTGGAACCAGTATTCATCTGCCGTTCCAGAAAAGTCATTGATATTTATACCATTGAAGCGTTTTAATAATTCGGTTTGAAATGCGCTGGAATTTTTCCCTCAATCTTTTAGTTTGAGATAGTTGAAAGATCTTGAGGGATTCTTTCTTGCGAGTTGTCAATTTTATGCGGATCTTGACTCGAACCATAATAAATCGGATCAATGAAGGTTATCCATCTTCTGCACCCCGATAAGAACAACTATCTAGGAGAACAGAGGCTGACCACGATATAGGCAATCTGGTTGGAATGTTGGTTATCCGAGAGCATGTATTGTTACCCAAAAAAACTCTTTTCGGCAAAGCGAAGATGGTGTTCCCTATTGAAGCACTAGAGCCTGATGCCTTATATAAAGAACAAAGCAGTTTTAAGCGGTCGGAAATGGAAATTGCTCTAAATCAAAATAAATATTATTTACATAATATTTATATAATATATTTGTTACCGAAATTTCTACAAATTTTCGCTGACTCACACGATAAGTTTGTTTATTTTTCCTTTAATTTTTTTTTTCATTTTTCTGTTTTTTCACTCTAAATTGTCTCTTTATCTATCTTTGACAGGAGTAAATAAACCTGTCATGATATCAAAATCTACGCTTATGGACGTTGCAAGCCAAACGATCATCCTTTATAAATTTCTTGTGTATATCGCCTTCTTGTCAAAGCCCCGCCTTCCTTAATTGTATTTCGAGCAATTACTAAACCTGGTAACCGAGCGTAGGTACTGGCTATATCACTACTTTGGATAACTTGGGGCGAAATGGCTAGTGATTATCTTGTCTTAAAAGATTTATTTTGATTGAGTGGAAACTGATAAATGGATGTATGGTTGTACGTGTTTTAAAGGAAAGTGCTGCATATCTCGATCACTGTACATAATCTGCAGATGATCGTGATGAGGATAAATTATATGCAAAACTTTAGTTGCTAACATACCGAACATACCGAAACATGGTCATAATCGAATGAGACCTGCGTAGGTCATAATGCCGCCACGACGAACTCGACAGTTGCTGTGTCATATATTATTATTTGGTTTAATACCCAATTTTGAGAATAAAAAATTTTGATAGTGCGGCGTCTCATACCTATCATTACACTGCAGTTCAAAGTGGTAACAAATAAAATGATAATTGCACGCCACTCTATCATTATTCCTTCTCTATATATTTTTTACATGGTGCTTCGGACCAGGGTAATTGGTATTTTAGAATCTACACCATCAAAAAAGGCAGTTTTTAATTTTATGAAGTAAAATTTTTATTTGGAAGAATCAGTAACCCAGATCAATTTTCGTCTCATCAGAGAATGTATTTGGAACCTCTTCAAACCGTTTTCTTGGTTGGGGTCAATCATTCAATTTCATGGAAAAGTCCAGCGTTCCTTCTTGATTTCATTTCTTCCCATTTATTTTTTAAATCGAGTTTATTTTTTATATTTTCATTTATTAATTTTTATCCTTTCTCTTGTTCTTTTTATTTCATATTCTTGGCATATTTTAAAAATTGTTCGTTATGAGAATTATAATCTACAATTAGAATTCCACAGACCATTATAGAGAGAAATTCACTAGCCTGTTAAAACAGATGGAAGTCCTAGGCATCTGACTCTAAGATACCTTAAGTCCCGATTATTCTATTTATCAAAAATTTGTGATCAGAAATTCGAAGGTGGAAAAGCTAAATTTCTCACCCTGACTTTTTAAGACAGTATTGATAAAGGATGTGAAGTTGGCTTCCCATGTCGTACCCACCAACGAAACTGACTCAAAAAAACATAAACTCTGGGCAAAGAAAAAATGAGCTAATTATTAAGACAAAAATTGGCTTAAATATTTTAATAAGATATTTTAAACTTAAATTTAACTTAAAGTTGAAGAAGTTTTCTCCACTTCTTAATCCCTCACCCCTCACTCTCCACCAATTACTGAAGCAGTGCAACTATCGAACTGTCAATTTTCTGAATTTGACGGAATAATTAGGTATTGGTCCTTATTCAGGGATAGTTTTTTGTCCACAGTCAATTCAAGCAATTTGTAACCAGTCGAAAAAGCAAAACAGTTAATGGCGTCCATAGCTGGAGGGGCAAAGTAACAACTGGTTGAAGGCTTCATAATTTACCAATCTTATAATGAAATTTGGAAAATTCCTGAGTGCCGATACGGGGGACCAATACATATTTAATCTTCGCCGCACTGCATCATGATCTCTGACGAATCAGAATCCAAATGCTTAGAACAAACATCGAAAGAGTCTGGCGATAGGTGGCAAGAAATTGGTGAAGAAATCAGTGGTACTTCAATCTTAATTCTTATAGAAGATAGATAAAGTTAGCAGGAAGAGTCGCTCGGGAAAAGTTAGAATCAGGAAAAGGTTCGCAATGGTTTCTTCAAAATCTTCGTCAAGATTTGGAGACATGGATAAAAGAAGAGATTGGATTTTAATATATGTCCTCTCGTTCAGAACCAGAAAAACGAAACACTCATTGTAGGTCATTTATCAACAAAGGCCTAAACAGTCAGATCAACAAATATTTCAATCCATTTATCCAAAGCTTTTCCTAAATCAGTGTCTCGTTTGTTAATTTGAATGCCATTATTATTTTTGAATATCCACTGGAATAACTCATACAGAACAGTTAATACTGTAGAAAAAAGATTGGAATTTCAAAATAACTGCTCAACCCCAACTCAGCAGACAAATGCCGCCTAAAATTGCCATCAAGGCCAATAAACGCACAGTAATATTAATGGACAACAATTGTCGTTATCAGATCCTCGAATCAAGGTATTTTTATTTTTGTTTTTTTAGTTTTATTTTTTATTTCTATTTCCTCACATTGCTGGTTAAACTCGCTCCCCTGGCTTGTCGCATTGAGCAAATATGCCAAGGAGTCCTTTAGCGGTAGAAATACAGGTGAGTCGCCAGCATCATCTGGATTTATGTATAGGTTTGCTCTTGCGGAGAACCGAATCAGCAACGGCGCTCCCAATTGAGCAATAACCCACTGAGCCATTCTACTCCCAGGCACTTTTATTAAACAATATTAAACAAAGATCAAGCGATCAACATTCCTACCATATGAGGAAGGAGTATTCAATCCCAATAATTCTAAAATTACGAAGTCATTGGCTATATTCGATGCAAGAAGCTACATTAAAAAATAAATGTAAATATACTGAAAACATCTTAACATCTTAAAAAATAAATACAAATATATTGAAAACCAACAAATTTCAGTAGTTTCAAGCTTACCAAACCAAATTATTTTAAATTTTGTATGATATGATTGATTGTGTGATTGATGTAGGATTTATTTTTAAAAGGGCTTTCTTAATTACAGTAGCAAATATACTGAAAACCAGTATAAAATAGATGCCAACGATTTTTTTATATGGAGAATAAAATTGAATAAGTTCAAGTCAGATTCAAATGGAGAGTTCAGTTCAGTTAAGTTTTTGGTTCGAGTTGAGTTCAACAACATCAATAAATCATGAATGGGAATCGAGTGTACGAATGAACCAGTTATGAAAAACCAATCCCTTTGCTATTCCGTCGTAATTAGATAGTTAAGTATATAAATATATATATATATATATATATATAAACTCATTCGAAAGATTAAGCATCTCGTCGATGCATCCGAGTAAAATGACATAATTTAGGTGACTACCATTACTACAATGCATTCTGGACTTCCAGCACAAAATAGACTGAAATTGAAAGTTTTATACAAGTTTTATACGATATGAGGGCAAGAAAAATTTCTCAAAAAAATATTATTATTCTAACCCTAAAGATCTCATAACCAAATCTCGCCATTACTGGTTATGCCGGCTCCAGCAGCTAGATGAGTAAGACGCTTCCAAGAGGCGCGGTCTGATACCGTCGACAGTAATAGAAGCCATTCCTTTTTCCTTCGTTCATATATTGCTAGTCCACCTATACGGTCAAAATCTTTTCTGACCGTATCAGTCCAGGTTTTGATTCACCCTCCTCGCTTTTGACGCCAACCATCACAGGGTTTAGCAAATAACGAAATATGCGTCAACTCCTGTGGTGGAAGACGGAAAACATGCCCTAACCAGCGAAGGATCTGTAATAATATTTTTATGCAATTAAACAAGAGTGGTCAAAGGCAGATAACTTCTTATCCTCCCCTCTCATTGGCCATGTCTCAGAGCCATATAGCAAGATCGAACGAATCACGGCTATATAGATGCCGACTTTCGTTTTTATGGTGGTTTCACGATGACTCTATAAAGGTTTCGTCAACCGGAAGAATGCATTTCTTGCTGCCGTGATCCGGGTTGTAAATCACCTTTTGCTTGGCCATTTGGTATTAATGTGGACCTAAGGTATTTAAAGGTCCATAGAGAACCAAGTGAAGTAGTGTTCCAGCACTGTATGTCGCGAAAGTCGCGAAAACTAAAAATTTTAAACAAATAAAATCAGGAATGAAATCCATATGGTCTTAATTTCCATCCAAAGAACTATAAAAGGTTATTCTATTGGATAGTAAAATTATATTTTGTCAGAATCTTCTAGAAAAATGATTCATCTCAACTTTTAATATTTTCCCATGTCGAAAATTTAATCCTTTATCTAACTTGTAATCATTTAACATGTCTAATCATACACATTTGTATGCTGTAAAAAATGTATTTTCTCATGAAACAATCTTGTAACAGCTTGAGAAAATTTTAATTCTGTTTAATCACTCCCACTTCTTGCCACCATATAAGCTAGCCATATTGTTCACAAAAAGGGGCTTGGTCAGTTTCTACATCTCCACCATTCGTCTTTATATTTCATCCTTTTCGTTATCACCTTCGTCACTAATAAATTTTCCTCACACGAGTTCGCGTCACACTAGCTCGCCCGAAATACTAGTTCGCGTCATACTAGCTCGTCCGACACACACACAAGCACACACGCATCACCGCTACAACAAAACCTTCCACCACAAAATTATTTTTGGTGCCCGATTCAGTTCAACACAACTTTCGCGACATTAAAACTTTCACGACACTGTAATTAGAGTGGATATTTGGTCAGTATACTCATCCTTTGGTTCAAATCCAGTTCGATTAAGACTGCTATCTTGTATTTGCATAAGTCTTTTGAGCAGAAGAGAAGCAAAAAGTTTCTCAAGGCGCTAATAGATTGATTTTCTTTCGTTGCTGCGGTATGCGCCACTATTTCTCGGAGATTTAGAAACAGGGAACTGAGGAGCTATTTATGGAGCAGCATTATTTATCTAAATATAAGCCAAGCAGGATGTAAATCCATGTGCTGGAGTTAGTGGTAGCAAGTGAAGTAAGAGCAGTAAATAATATAAGTGAACAAAGTAATGAAAAGTAAAACGAAAAGATTAATATTGAATCGGGGCTGCAAATCATTTTTTTAAGATGTTGTTGACAATTTTGTTAAGGTTTCTTGTAAAACTGGAAATTGATATGGGGTAAAAACAATGTGGAACAATTTGTTCCAGTAGTTAATAGTTTGAATGAAAAAATTGTGGGACAGGAAATTGGTTCTAACAGATGACGAGTTGAAATTGATGCCTCTCAATTTTGACTGTCGACTTACATTTTAAAAAATTAGTGCGAAAAATGATTAAATGTCAATATTTACAAAGAATTAACGCCGTATTTATTCAGTAAAGCAGAAGGATTAAAAATAGCGAAATTTCTGGTCAATAATCTGCATAAAATATTTATGAAATACATGAAAAATTTAGATCTGATACATATTTTCGAAATATGAACTGTTGTACATTAGTTGCAGTGTTTTTCCATATGATTTCCAATTGGATTGGATTAAGGACGCCTCTTCCAGGCACTCAACTAGTGCAAATTAGTCAAGATCATAGAATGGCGAATCTGGAAAATGGCGCTGTCGAAAATTGCAGCTAAACTATGACTAAGTCTTGATATACAATAGACAAGACCCTTTTTTATGTATGAAAAGTTGCCGAAAATACTTATTTTTGTAATTTCTTGAATAGCCGGACTTTAATCGAATGTATAGGGTATGTGCTTATAACAAATTACCAAACAAACAATGAAATTCCAGCCTGAAGCTTTTTTATGTTTTGCGAAATCTCAATGTAACTTTTGTCGTGAAAGCAACGTCGAAACGAAAACTTGCATCCATCTGCTATGCACTTTTATTTATCTATCTTTGATCATTCATGCTTAAGGTACATTTTACGTTTCCCGCCAAACGTCAGAATCTCACTTGGTTGTATCCATTTTGGTTCTGACACCAAACGTCATTGGCACCTTGAAAGCTGGTTAAGCACTGTTTTTCGTTTCCTACTACAGAAAAAGGCATATCTCAACACTTGCTAAATCTCGCGATAGGTAAAATCAAAATTGAAGAAGATTAACCAAGATTTGGATTGTTAAAACCATGAAAGATTTTGCATACGTAACAAACAGGCTTAAACAGTGCAAAAAGGAGTGACTTCTGTTACTTCCAAGCGTTATATCGAAGGAGTTTAGAGAGTTTTCATCTTCATTGCCATAGCAGTAGCTTGGCCAATTTCAGGAGATCCTGACTATCTAGTACTTCGGAAAATTACAACGATAGCAGCACTGTGGGGCAGAAATCGTTATTGGAGCGATATGGCCTTGAGAATGGAGAACGCGGCTCGAATAGGTGACAATAGGCAACTGTTTCGCCTTCACAATGTTACTATGATTTGAGAAAGGGTCAGTGAAATTATACAGGATATCAACGGGGCGCCTATTAAAGCTATTAAAGATCGCGTCAGAAGATGGAAAGAATTTTTTGAAGCCAAACTTAACCACGATGCCTCATCTGTTGTCCCGAATATAACTGATTCGCCCGTCGAGCCTTACGTTTGCAGCTGTGAGCCACCAACAGAAAATGAAATAGTCTCTGTAATCCATAAGCTTAAGGCCAATAACACTCCCGGAGAAGATCGTCTTCGGGCCGAACTTTTCAAATGTCCATCATCGTTCATAATTCACCTTCAACAATTGTTTTTGTTATATACTGTCTAGTTTGGCAAAAGGATACGAGAAGACTGGAGCAAAGCAATTCTACTTCCAATTCCTAAGAAAGGTGACAGGACATATTGCGACAATAATCGAGGAATCAGCATACCGGACATCGGAAAAATTTTCCCTTCCCTACTGCTGAATAGACTCATGGCAACACCAAGCTAAATTCAAACTATGATGCGGTTGTGCTGGCCAGATATTTACGCTAAGAAGGGTACGCTTCAAATAACAGCTGCCCACGGTCGCTTGCTTTATCGACTTTGCATCGATTCGATTGATAGAATAGCGCTTTGATGGTATATGACGGTATTCCAGAGAAGATCATTCGACTCGTAAAGGTATTTTATCAAAGTATATCGGTACATATCTATGTATATGAGGAACTGGTGGACTCTTTCGAAATAAAAATTGATGCCCATCAAGGCTGCATTTTTTCCCCAACTATATTCAACTATGCGATAATGGACGTAGCTTGTCGCCCCCTAAGAGATCTGCAAATCGAGAGGAAAAATATCATAAACCTTGAATATACTGTCGATGTAGTCCTTTTTGCTAACAGCTATGATGGAATGCAAATTGTGCTAAACAAAATCAGAATCAATGCAAATAAAACGAAAGCGTTTTCAAGATGCTGATTAAATACCTATTTTTATCAATTCATTGCCGGTTGAGGAAATGCCCGATTTTAAATATCTTAGATCGACTCTAATCTTAAATGACTAGGCAAAGAGGCAAAGGATGAAACTGCAAGGGATAATAGCAGCTAGAAATGTGTTTTTCCGGTTGACGAAACCTTTATGGAGTCGTCATGAAATCACCATAAAAAAGAAAGTCCGCATCTATATTGCCGTGATCCGTTCGATCTTACTATATGGTTCTGAGACATGGCCAATGAGAGTGGAGGATATTAAGAAGTTATCTGCCTTTGACCACTCTTATCTAAGGTATATATTACGGATCCGTCGAGCAGATAAGATATCACAAGATCGCATCCACCTTCGTTCAAATACCACCTGTATTAATAATGTTATCACAAAGCGTTGCCTTCATTAGTTAGGGCACGTTCTCCGTCGTCTACCACAGGAATTGACGCATATTTCGTTATTTGCTAAACGCTGTGATGGTTGGCGTCAAAAGCGAGGAGGACCGGTCAAGACCTGGACTGATACAGTCAGGGAAAATTTTGAACGTATATGGGACCAGCGATATATGTACTTAGACGATGGAGAAAGGAATGGCTTCTATTACCACTAGCGATGGTGTCATACTGAGCAGCTTGGAGTCTCACCCTTGTAGCCAGCATAACCAGCCTAACCAATAGTGGTGGGAGATGTTAGAGGAAGAAGTTCCTGTCGTTTTTCTACTTGTTATGTTATATTTTATGTTATATGTGATATGTTATATTTTATGGTAATGAAATCTTTGACATTTTGCAAAATTTCATCTGATATATAGGAACATACACGTAGCAAACAAAAATAAAAGAGTAGTTTTCGGTGCCATTGTTTCACATTAGGCCCCAACTGTAAATGATCAAGTAACTGATCAGTAACTCTGTGAAGAATTGAAGTGAAGAATACAACTTTGTGTAAGTTGATGTTAGGAGCATATGCATCACTAAATTATCGTTTTTTAAACAATTATGACTGAAAAGAAGAGAATCATTCTTGTCGATTTCGTATATCAGAATTCTACCTTATAATGACAGAATTAAACATAAAATTGATTCATTGGTAAAATCGTATGGGCTTGCTAATTTTCACTCTAAAAGTAGAATAGCTCAGTTGTTGCTCTCATCATGACGATGATGTCGGTTCATTTGCGCTTATATAGCCAATGATTTCCTAGCAAAATTTGCCGAGCAAGTTAGCAGAGCCCAGTCAAGCCTAATCAGAATGGTGAGAGCTACCGGGAGAAAGAATTCTTACTCTTATGTTTTTGATTTATTGAAAATTCTTATCATAAATCTAAAAGTACGAGATAGTAATTTTGTGATCGGATGGTAAATATTTCAAACTTATTGAAGCTTTACCTGTTGATAACTGTGCCAAATTCATGAAATTATTAACGAAACCACTTTTACTCTAAGTCATAACTCATAAGCAGAGTCATATAATAATTTTTTTTTTAATTGGTGTTTATGTCGGTCTTCAGTTTTTGTGTGCCTTTTTTTATTGCTCAAGGTTCAATGTATTTGATTTTAATTTTATTTTTGTTTATGATTAAATGATAAATTTTTTAATTTATATTCCCTAAAATGATGATACGACTTAATGGACTATTCATTTCGTACAAAGAAATATATAATGGTCAAAAAAGATGTGGTTTATTGGCGAAACGGACGAGTGAAAAATTTGGTATGCATCACCTTAATATATGATAATTGTTCTCAACTATTTTGAGAACATATATTTAAATGCTCTTTTTTGAGAATGCCAATGGAAATGTTTCAAATTAATTTTTAAATGATTTTGGCTAGTGCGAATGGCAAGTCAAAGAAATAAAATGAATAGTTGTTCGATAAATATGATTGATAAAAGATTTAATTGGTTTGATTTATTTCCGAAATTAAGTGAGATTTTTTGGTCTAAGCAATCTTCTCTAGGTAAGAATTTTTTTATTTCTTTGCCATAGTATCTCTGTACGTAGTGACTATCACTACATAAGATTGACTGATAGTTTTAATGAATTTTAAAAAAAATTTTAAAAGTTGTTTTAAAAGTCTTCCATCAGCATGTTCACAAATCTTTAAACGTGATTAATTTTAATATTCTTCGAATTGTTAACAGAACATGGAAAATTCGATAATTCGTATATTCTTAAAAAATCTTTTATTAAATTTTCAATGACCAGGATTATATAATTTTTATTTATACGGTGGCAAAAAGATTTTAAATAATTTTCTGCGAAATTTTTTGTAATAATTTCATTTTTTGGCTTGTGAAATTCTTGCTTTCTTTTGGTTTTTATCATTTTTTATTTTTATTATTCTCTATTATATTTGAATTTTTTTTCCTCAGTTTTAAATTTTCTTTCTCTTTTGTCTCAATGAGAGATTAAGATTAAGATGAAGATTTTTCATTTAAATCATTCAAAATGGAAAATTTACAATTTAGGCTAATTGTGCATTTATTAGCCTTTCATTTGTTGATGAAAATCTATTAATTTCAGTTAGTTCCAGTTTTGTAGATAAATAATCCGATGTTATTTTTACTTTGTTTTGGCGGAATTAATTCATTTATGAAAATCCCTGCGGATCACTCGTTGGATTATTGGAAACATTTTATTTCTCACGAGGTATCTAGAAAAAATAGTTATCTTTTCAGGAATTAATTCTCTTTTTCAATTTATGTCTTAAAAAGATTTCATTGAAAATTAATTAGAAAATTTTTCAGTGGGAAAAACTGTTTTATTAAAAATTATATTAAAAATATTTGAAGGTTTCCATCTATGAATCAGCTTATTTATTTAATGGAAATTTTATATTTATTTCACGTATTTTATCTTTATAAATTTTACATTATAATTTTATAATTTTATATTATAATCTTACTTTATATTTTATTGCATTATTTTTATGTTATATATTTCAAATTTATTTTGTATTTTTTATTTATATTTTATAATTGAATTGTATTAATTATTTTAATATTTATGCTGATTTTTCTACTTTTTTGCTTCATTAATAAACCCCTTTTTCATTTTCATAAATTGTTCATCCATTTAATCTCTGATAATTTAGTTTGATTTTTATATATCAACATAGTTCCTGAATGAATGTTTTTTCCTAAATGTAGCGAAAAGACATAAAGGCAGTCTTTCGGTCATTTTCGTTCATTCGCAAGTATAGTTATGCTGGTTCAAAATGAAGAAGTGAATGAAACATCACTTCTTCAGCAACTAATGAATTATAAGCTTCTATATAGTGCGTTTAATATATTTTTAAGCAACAATTTATAGCTGATAGCTTCAGATTAAGTAAGGCATTTTGTTGAAATGCTAGTTCACATGTTTATTTAATTTGTTAAAAGAAATTGTAAAGGTATTCGATAGTTATCTATCGGCATATCGTTTAATCTTTTGAGATTATTTGTATGATTGAGACAGATTTTCGATAATATTTTTAACATTATCCTATATAACTTTATTTAGGATAACCAAGTGAATAGTGGTTCAGATGGCTGTATTGGGAGCAAGGAGAGTGGGATGAAGGCTCCGTTCTTGTCTCCAGCAGCATAAAGTTGTCGTTGAAAAGGCGGGTGATGCTGGAAACTCGCTCTTAATGCGCTTAAAAACATGATTGCTTCCAACCACACTAACAGCCAACGGAGCAAGTCTATTGTAAACGGTAAACGCTTGCATGATTTTATACAGTTGTTTTCTTTTTTCATTCTAATAAAATTTAAAGATTTAAAAAATTTTCTTCCACAGTTTCATAAATTGTATTTTTATTGTATTTTTCAGTGCAAAATTGATTTCTTACGTTATTTTACGTCTTTTGAGTCGTCGAAACGAATATAATTGATTCAATCTTTTCCTTATTAATCGCTTTATTTTTTCTATCTTTCTAGGCCGTTTATTTCATCGGTTTTTAACGAAGCGAACAAAAAATTTAATTGAGTTAAACGCTGCTAAATAATTTCGCGACAATATACCAATAAAAATTGAAATAAAATTTTTTTCCATTTCAAAATTAACTAATAACTAATGAAAAAGCAGAAAATGGTTACGATGCTAACTACGACAAATTTAATTTTTTATTACTATTATTTTAAGCAAATATAAAGCATAAAAAAAGATTTTTTTGGAATTATGGAAATATTAATGCAGCATAGCCAACAATTCTTAAGACTTTTGATGTGATTTTTTCCTGTTTTTTTGTTTTTCCTGAATAAAAATTAGTTCCTAAATTAAAAAATTCTTCAATTAATTTGCTGATAACGCGGCTTTACAGAATAATGACTCAGACTATTTTTTTGGGAGATAAGAGTTCTGTTCCT